GGGCGTGTGAGTCTGAGTCTGGGGGTGCGTGGCTGTGAGTATGAGGTGTGGGGGGTGCGGCATGTGTGGTTGTGAGTCTGGTGTGCATGGTTGTGAGTGCGAGTCTGGGGTGTGCGTGGTTGTGATTGTGTGTGTGAGAGGTGCAGCCTCCGGGTTCCTGAACAGGGGAAGGTGCCTGTGTGGGGGTGGTTGTGTACATGCGGGTGAAGGGGGGGGTTGCCTTGTTTGAATAGGAGTGTGGTTGTGAGTCTGGTGTGTGTGGTTGAGTCTGAGAGTGTGGTGTGCGTGGTTGTGTGTGTGTGCGTGAGGGGTGCAGCCTCCGGGTTCCTGAACAGGGGAAGGTGCCTGTGTGGGGGTGGTTGTGTACATGCGGGTGAATGGGGGGGGTTGCCTTGTTTGAATAGGAGTGTGGTTGTGAGTCTGGTGTGTGTGGTTGAGTCTGAGAGTGTGGTGTGCGTGGTTGTGAGTGTGTGCGCGTGAGGTGCAGCCTCCGGGTTCCTGAACAGGGGGAGGTGCCTGTGTGGGGGTGGTTGTGTACATGCGGGTGAATGGGGGGGGGTTGCCTTGTTTGGATAGGGGCGTGCTTGTGAGTCTGTGCTGTTGCGGGGGCAGGTTGGTGGAGGTGTGTGGCTGGCTGGGAACCTGGATCTTGTGAGGTGTGTGTGCGGAGGGACTGGGGGCCTGCAGTCGCATGGAGGGTGCCATGGGCCCTTTAAGAAGGGAGACACTCCGGAGCCTGTGACGGGTGTTGAGCCTTAGTTAGGCGTAAGGGAGACCATCTGGGCCCTGGGAGGCTGGCGACTTGGCAGGAGTTGCAGGGGAGCCTGTCCTAAGCTGAGCTCAGAGGAGAGCGGGACCAAACCCGGGGGGGCTGGATTGTGTATTGTGAGCCGGGCGCTTGGGCAGCATCTCGCGTGCTTGTGAGTCTGTGCTGTGGCTGGGGCAGGTTGGTGGAGGTGTGTGGCTGGCTGGGAACCTGGATCTTGTGAGGTGTGTGTGCGGAGGGACTGGGGGCCTGCAGTCGCATGGAGGGTGCCATGGGCCCTTTAAGAAGGGAGACACTCCGGAGCCTGTGACGGGTGTTGAGCCTTAGTTAGGCGTAAGGGAGACCATCTGGGCCCTGGGAGGCTGGCGACTTGGCAGGAGTTGCAGGGGAGCCTGTCCTAAGCTGAGCTCAGAGGAGAGCGGGACCAAACCCGGGGGGGCTGGATTGTGTATTGTGAGCCGGGCGCTTGGGCAGCATCTCCGGAGGTCCCAATGCCGCCCCGCTGGGCTTTGTGTCTCTAGGTGGTGCACATGCCTCAGTGCACCTCAAATGTATTCTGCCTGTGAGTGGAAAAAATCCGCACGTGGCTGGAGAAGAGCAGCGGGGACGTTGCTGGGGCCCGAGGGGCAGAAGGATGGGGCAGGGCCGAGCAGCGAAGGGGGAAGATCCAGCTCAGTCCGGAGAAGCAGAGCCCAGCAACTGCAGGGACGTGCCCTGGACAAGGGTCGGACTCACTGGCAGGGAACTCTGCGGAGAGGCGCCCTGCAGGCAGCTGCCTTGATGGGCTGTAACTACTGCTCAGGTGAGGGAGGCCTGGAGAGCAGGGTCCAGGGTCAGAGGGAGGGAACAGGGACCCTCTCCAGGGGCGAGTGTGAGGGGCAGGGAACTGCTGCCCCTTGGTCCGGTCCCTGTGGAAGCTGGAGAAGGGTTTTGTTACAAGGATTTCGGGGAACTGCTGAACGGCTGCATGGGAGTTGATGGGGGGGGGGTGCTGGGCTCCTTGCGTGGGTGGAGTGACGGGAACAGGCAAGGCACATCTGTAGTGCCGCAGACCGGTCCCTGTATCGGGGAGTTACGCGTCTGTGGAATAAGGCGGCTGTGATGGGCTCTGAAATTGCATTTACATTGACAGAAGCTAGGAGGAGGTGGCCTGTGGACCCGTGTTCTTGTGCGTGGCTGTCAGGCTGTGGACGTGGTTGTGAGTCTGTTTCTTGCACTGAGTCTGAGAGTCTGTCTCTCTCCAAGGCCGGTTGAGAGTTTGTTTCCATGTGTGCTTGCGTGTCTGTGACGGGGGGAGATTCGTTGTGTTGGGATTCTTGTGGGACTTGGTCTTTGCGTGTGGGAAGCTGGTTGTGAGTCCGGGCTCCTGGGTGTGATGGGGCTCTTGTGTGACTTTGTGCCGTGAAGAGGCAGGCCAGCGCCTGGGGTCTGGAGACCCCCTTTGCTCGGTGATTCCTTTCTCCTCATGCTCCCGCCAGTGCAGCACAAAGCGGCTGCTGAATACAACACCAAAGGAAGCGCTGGGCGAGGGTGCACGATTCGGGTGGGGTGTGAAGGGCCAGCCGGGCGTTTCCCTATTCCGGGCCCTGGGATCGCCGGGATGAACAGGATGGGGATGACACGGGAATAGGCTGGAAAAGGGGGGAGAGAGGGACTTGCATAGAAAGCAGACGTGCAGCTGGGCTTTTCCCGAAATCCCAACCATCGGACGAGCTCCCCCTTCAGGCCGGCTCGCTGGGCCTGGGACCGCACAGAGCTGTTAAATCTTCCCCTGGAATCATTTTTCCCTTCAGAAATGCTGCTTGGGTGAGATCAAACATCCTGTAGCTTTTTGACAGTTTTGTTGCGGAGGTGGGGGGAGGGGACAGTTTGCAAAGCTCGCGGACAATAGTTTAGCATTTTACAAAACCGGGGGACGTCACATCAGTCACTGAATCCGTGACGTATGAGGGATTTGATGGGCCAGGGTTTTGCAAAATGCTAAAAACAAATTGTACAAAGAAGTTTAAAATGAAACCAAGGCTGAAAATCAACACAGAAGCCACCGCTACAACGGACGCACGGCAAACAGAGTTTCAAGAAATTTTGTTTCCTAGAAATTTGAGGGTTTGTTCCAATTAGGAATTAATTCCCCCCCTCAACCCCCCCAAAAATTTTGGAAAATCCCAG